AAAAAAAAAAAAAACTGAATTGAGGGATACACTGAAATCAAGAAGGCAATTAAGAGATTGTTATACTGATTTAAACACAAGGTATTGTTAATCGATGTAAAAAATTAGGTACATTTTGAAGCAAAAAGTATAGGACTTGGTGACTAATTGGAGCTAAAGCAAGGAGAGAGTCAAAGAGGACTTGTAAAAGTTTTAGCCTGGGTGACAAATAAAATGATCATCATAGGAAAATAGAAAGTTAGGGACAAGATACTGCTTTGGAGCCAAGCAGGTTCAGCGGAAGGTGATAACTATAATTTGTTAAGAATCTAACCTCATGGATGGACATCCCAATGGAAATACACAGGGGAATATCTAGATTGGAGTTCGGGTGAAAACTCAGAACTGGAGATATCTTGACAGAAATGATTGGCCAAAATAGGAATCGATGAGCTGCTTAACAGAGAAAGAAGAAAAATCAAAAACTGTAAAAAACAGAATAATAAAAGAGTTAAGAAAAGAGACAGGTGGCAAATAGAAAAGCCAGGAGAGCACAGATTCAGTGAGTCAATGAAATCAATAAGAGGGAGTAAGTAGAGAGGGAGGGGAGGAAGAAGGAGAGATTGGGGCAGTCAGAGCTTATTGTTTATCCCACTCTACCAGGACCCCCTAAGGAGCTCTGGTAGCATAGTGGTTACAAATCAGGCTGTGAACTGCAAGGTCAGCAGTTCAAAATTACCAACTGCTCCGTGGGAGAAAGATGAGGCTTTCTGCTCCTGTAAAGATTTACAGCCCCGGAAACTCTGTTCAGGGTCACTATGGGTCGGAACCGACTCGATGGCACTTAACAACAACAACCAGGACCCCTTGGAGCTGTAATGACCACAGAGTAGTCAAGAAGACGTCCTTAACACTAGTTCCTTCATTTCCATCCAAGTAGGACTTCCTAGTGGAAATACAGCTCATTGAAGATCCTGATTGGAGTTTGTGTGTGGCGCTGTGGGATCAGCACTGGGCTGCAAACCACAATGTCGGCATCAAACCCACCAGCTGCTCCTCGGAAATCCTATACAGTGTTGCTATGAGTCAGAACCTACTTGACGGCATTTAATAACAATATAGAGTCTTGGGGTGGCACTATTGGCCAAGCACTGGATCACAAGATGGGTTTGAACCGCAAGGTCAGTGGTTCAAACCCACCAGACACTCCTCAGAAACCCTATACAAGGTCACTATAGATCAAAACCGACTCTTAGCAACACTTAACAACAAAAAATGCTAGGTTATAGCCCTCATGTAGTGCTATAGGATAAGCACTGGACTGTTACTACACTAACTACAAGGTCAGCAGTTCAAACCCACCAACCACTCTTGGTAACCCTATCCAGGGCCACTACAAGTCAAAACCGATTCAACGACACACAACATACAAAGTCAAATAATAAAGTAGTGCTTCTAATGTTGCAGGTCATGCAGGTATAGATTTATGTAAAATAAATCATGTGTAAACTTTTCTCTGCAATCAGTGAATGGCTACAGACAAGTTTTCTCAGTAATACACTTGTCTTAGTCTTCTTAGGGTACCTTCAAAAAAAAAAAAAAAAAGGTACAAACAGAACAATGGCTTCTGATGTGATCTAATGACCAGTTAAATTCAAGGCAAACAGAGGTCAGCTCAGAAGATTATGGTAGCTGTTTTGGGGCTTCCAAAAGGGTAATCTTGAAAGATTTTCTTGAAGGACACAGAGCAATCAATCCTGGGGGCTTATTATGAAGTTTCAAGAAAATGTAAAATTACATTGGTAAGAAAAAGGCCAAGAAAGTTACTCCAAGGAATTTTTTCCTTTACAATGCACCTGGCTCATTTCTTGGGGCTACCAAGGGCTATTCTATGGGAATTTTGTTGATAAGAATTGCTCACTCACTCGATAGCCCTAATCTTTATTGTTCAAACTTCTTTTTGTTCTCCAAAAAAGGAATATCGAGCCCCTCTCGAATACCAAAGAGTCCCCGTGTGGTGCTGTAGGATAACCACTGGATCGCAAGGTTCAAACTCACCAGCCCCTCCTTAGAAGCCTTATCAGGGTCACTATAAGTCAGGATCAACTTCATGGCACTTACATCAATCAGCATGCCAAACTACTGTTTGGATGTGGTGTAAATTAACCAGGTATAGAAGTCTTCAGGGAAGGATTAGAGAGATGGAATCACCACCTTCAGAAATGTATTAGCCTAGATGTAGGATATATCTAGAAACAATTTCATATTTTGATATTTTGGTTTAATAAAGCTTTATGATTTTGTAGCAATACTTTATTTTATTTTATTTTTTAGTTTTTATTGTGAATTGAATGATAGTTTACAAGGGAGAACATCAGCTTTACATTCATCCTATATTATTTTGTTTCATTCATTGCAATAATTACAATTCCCTCCATGCATCAAACAACCAAAGGGTACACCCCACAAGCCTGAGCCGCCCCCTCCTGCACCTCCCACCCGCCATCAGCACACAGCCCTTCTCGCTCCCTAAGTCTAGAGCCCCAGCCGTTCCATCTCTTCAGTAGCAACACTTTTTGAAGGAAATTTTCTTCCTTATCTAATGAGGCAGACTTGTTCTTATTAGTACAAACGTTACTCAGTTAGAGAGGTTATATCACACACAAAATCAGGACAGAGGAAAAGGCTTCAAACTGGGCTGTGATTTAAATCCAAATTAAGAAAAAAACAATTAAGTAGAAGTTTTACCTTCATGATGGGAACACTTTCCTGTCCTGGCTTGAACTCAGCTCGATTGCACAGTGTTATGATCCTGGATAAGGAGGCCCAGGTACCAGAGCTTTGGTCAAAGGTTTGATCTGGAACACAAAGGACAGTGGGGACTGGAGTGTGCTAGCCAACAGTCATCTGCTTAAATCTCAGACATGCTCCACCAACACTGTCATGTTTACTCAACCCCCACAGCTCAGCTCCACAGCTCTGGACCAGGCAGAATGGTCCACAAGACTTACTTGAATGGTCTTCACTTGTGTCGGCCATGAAGATCTGATTGTCAAACCATAGATGGGCCACAGTCATCCTGTTCTGGGTCAGAGTCCCAGTCTTGTCAGAGCAGATGATGGAGGTGGAGCCGAGGGTCTCCACCGCCTCCAGGTTCTTCACCAGGCAGTTCCTCTTGGCCATCCGTTTTGCTGTCAGCGTCAGCATTACCTAGATGGGAGAGGACAGCAGCTTTTGGAAACAAAACAAAACAAAACATAGGTAGACATTGCTGAACACTTTTATCAAAGAATCTGTAGAAGAATCCTGATCATAACAAGGAAATACAAACTAAATTTCAAAATTCTCATGAAACTCCAGACTATCTGGAGTTTTTGAAAATGGACAAGCCCATGAAACTATTGCTCTAAAATAATCTTTAAACCTTAAACCAAATATATCCCCAAAGGTCTTCTAGAAACCAAACAATAGCTAGCTTAATTAGTAAAGATTGCCTGCCTTGTAATCTCTGTGACCCTGAGACCAGAAGAACCAGAGAACTAGATGGTTTCTGGCCATCACTACCAGTTGCTCTGCAAGGTCACATTGTTGTTGTTGTTGTTAAGTGCCGTCGAGTCGGTTCTGACCCATAGCGAGCCTGTACAGGGTTTCCGAGGCTGTAAATCTTTATGGGAGCAGAAAGCCTCATCTTTCTCCCGCGGAGCAGCTGGTAGTTTCGAACTGCTGACCTTGCGGTTCACAGCCCAATTCGTAACCACTACACTACCACAGCTCCTGCAAGGTCACATTATAAGTTCCTAAATAAAGAGTGTGGGGGTGGGGGTGGGTTGTTGTGGAATAAATCTCAAATCATAAAAAACCAAACTTACTGGTCAGATAGAGACTGGTGGTACCTCCAAGACTATGACCCTTAGTCACCCTTTGGGTCTGCGACGGAACTGATCTCCATGGCTCAGTTTTCAGCCAACCAATAGATAAGTCTATGAGGAGGCATGCATAACTTAGAATAATCAATCTTATGGAATTTTTTTTAAGGAAGACAAAGTATAGATGGAATGGAGGCAGAACACAGAGGGAGGAAGTAGGGTAAGTGAAGTTAGATTATGGGGACTGCAATTGGTGAAATAAAACAAAATGTGTATGAATTATTGAATGGAAAACTGTTTTGCTGTGTAAATGTTTACCCACTTCACAAATGAAAGTTAAAAAATGCCTTGAGCAATATGCTTGTTAAAATTATATCTATATGGGACTAAATTAACAACAGCATGTTGAAAGATTAGGTAAGAGACCCTTGTTGTTGTTAAGTGCCCTACAGTTGGTTCCAAATCACAGTGGGCCTCTACAGGGACCCTTTGGGGGTAGTGATTTTATGTGAATTGAGGAGGAACACCTCAGACAAGGGTAGTGAGAATACTTGCACAACTTGTATAACATAATCAATGTCACTGAAGTGCACAAACAGAAATCATTGAAGTGCTGAATGCTTTGTTGTACATTTTAACAAGAACAAAATAAATCTCAGAAACCCGATAAGGGGTCGGAACTGACTCAATGGCACTTAACAGGAACCACAATAGTTACTTATGCAATAAAGTAGACCCGGTGGTTTATACACCTTACGTGCCAAAAAATTTCCTTCCTTTCCTTTTGTCCCTTTATCTTTTGTAGAAAACGATCCTGAGGTGGCAAAGAGCATTAAGGTTGCTCTAGCTTCTGCTCATGTATTATTATGACGTAAGCTTCAACCATCTGCTGTGTGATTAGTTGGCATGAATGTGTGAGAAAGAGGTTGACTGGTATATGCCAAGAAAGTTCTTCCAACGGACTCACTTTTGGGGATCCAAAAAGTATTTGTTTAATATTTAAAGCTCTGTATTTTAAAGACTCTTAGCCGTCTGTTAAACTCACTGATCTCCAAGGGTTCTCTTAGCTCCAATTTCTTCAAATACAATCTCATGGACTCAGAAGAGATCTGGAGTTCAAAAATTCGTCTATCTTTGAGCATGACAGTAACAAATCAGTGATTCTGTAGGCTGCTTTCATATATAATTGGAAACCCAAATCTCTACCTCCCATCACCCAAGGGCCTTTGCAGAAAAGAGTAGGGAGGAGGGTGGCTATGTCTGTTTCTAGGTTGAAGTTTCCTAAGAAATTTTTTTTTTTAATTAAAGAATTGTAAGGATTGATTCAGGTTAATGAAAGTATATAGATATGGATGATGGCTCAAGTCTATCTTACATAAATCTTTAGGAGCAAAGTAACGTATGCGATTAGGTAGATCTCCTGAAAATGAAAATGTAAAACTTTCAAGAACGATGCATTCTAGTATGAAAAAGTTAACAATTCCTTTTATCCCTCTAAGATAAGGGAGGCATTCACTCTAAAGATAGAGAAGCATTGTAGTTGGCTTGTAGGAGCTTACCTAACATAGACGTTAAAGTGTTAACAATATCAGGGTACAGGAAGGGTTGGTGGCTACCTAACAGCATGGACTCACAGTGACAGTGGCCTGGAAGCCCTCAGGCACATTGGCTTCACTGATGCCGATGAGGAAGATGATGGAGTCCAAGACAGGATACTTCATGGACACTGCGATGATGAAGAAAGTAATGCCAAGGGAGACGGCCACTCCCGCCACAATATGAACAAAATGGTCTATCTCAATGGCAATGGGCGTCTTCTCATTTCCAACTCCTGAAGCCAGTGAGGCAATTTGTCCAATGACGGTGCGGTCACCCGTGTTGATGACCATGCCAGTTGCTGTGCCTGTAGGGGAAGTAGACATTTTATTCCAGGGGTCCTTGGCTATGAAAGAAGAATACAATTTCCTTCCTAATGGCTTACATGATCAATTCGTTCTGGGGTGGCACTGTAGGCTAATTACTAGGCTGCTAACCACAAGGTTGGCAGTTCAAAGCCACACACACAAAATTTTACAGAAAAAAAGTAATTCTCTAGGCTCTTCCATTTCATGTTTTCTCTAAGAAAAGCTTTATAACAAGAGACGACGGTAGGTGAAAAGGCAAAAAACAGAAGACATCTGGAGGGAGGGAGAGGTGCATCTGGCCCTTAGAGCCAGCTGCACTTACCTTCCAGACAGGTTGTAGAATAGAAGCCAATGTTCTTTGTTTCCAGGGGATTGTCATGGGTGCAGTCACAGGACCGGGACTGAGGTTCTGACTCTCCACTGAGAGAAGAGTTATCCACCTAGGAGAAATTTGTAAAAAAATATTTAAAATTGATCTTCCTGCCTCAGTTATGCTGAAATTAGCAAAGCCAATCGAATGCCAACTAGCTACAAGTTTGATCCCTATGGGCACCCCAAGATGCTTGCCTTGCATCCCTGAGAACACAGCAATCTGATGTCTGCAGGAATCTGATCTCCTCCTTTAATCTCCACTATGTCCCCCACCACGAGCTGCTCTGAAGGAATTGTCTTCCTCTCTGCGTCTCGGATGACAAGTGCTTTCTGGGAAAGAAACACATGACAGATGTCTCAGATTCTGAAATGATGTGACTCCTCCACCTTCGTTTATACTTCTCAGAACCTCAGAAATCCACTGTTGTTAACAGCAAAAAATAAAATGAAAGCGTGTTGCAAATGGGGTCTGAAACCCCCAGAACTAAACCCTATACACGGTCGCTATGAATCGGAACTGACTCAACAGCACTTCACAACAACAGTTTTGAATGAAGCTCATGAAATTGGCATGGTCATCAATACAGGTGACCGCAACATGCTTAGACAAATTGCATCACTGGCTTCTGGAGTTGGAAATGAGAAGACACCATCACCAATGCGATTGTGCATTTTGTTTGTGGTAGGACTGGAACCGGAAAATACTGCTCTAGGCAGATACAGCAAAGCGAGGGGCACAGACCTGTAGGAAAGGGAGCGACCATTATGGATCAACGGCAGAGGCTGTCATGGGCAGGGAGACCATTGAAGGTCAAGCCACAGGATTCAATCATCTTGCTAAAGTAAAAACAACTCTAATAAGGTAAAAGGTAATACCCTGCTTTTAAGCAAGGAAGGATGTAACCTTTGCATCCAGTCTTTCCTTCCTGCTGATAGTTCTTTGGGGAGGGACAATCCAGCTCTCTTGCTGGCTGTGTACATAGTGATGCATGGACTTCCCTAAGGAGACGCAGCAGAAGTTCTGTGTGAAGAGGAGAGCTCTGGTGGCGCACACTGACAGCATCGGGGTAGCAAGCACTGAGCTCAGCAGTGGGAATAAAATGGTCCCAGAAAAAGGATCAGAGAGACTGATCTTGACTGCCTATGAACACTCTCTGAGTTTCTACAGTTCACTCCCTGAATCACCTGAATAATGAAGTTGTCCAAATGGTTCACAAATGCTTCAGAGCAGTAGCAGCGGATGTTATACAAGAACTAAAGTTTTTGTCCTACTTAATTCTTGACAAAGCATTTTCCTGCATTTGATCATCTCAAAATGCAGGAAATGGGGTTCCAAGAGAGTAGGTAACTTCCTCAAGATTTCTCAGGTAGTAAGTGAAGGGGCCAGGACTTGAGCAGAGATCCTCTGACATCCAAACTCCACTTTTTCATTAGCTTCTGCATATGAAACTAATGGAGACATTAGAACGATGGCTGGGCTACTCACCTGAGGGATCATTTTACTGAAGCTGGCAATGATGTTGGTGCTTTTTGCATCTTGGTAATAAGCAAACATGCCCGTTAGCATAACCACCACAGCAAGCACAACACCCAAATACACCTAAGTGATGAGAGGAGTCAGTCAGAAAAACAAATAATAGTAATGAGTCAGATCCTATGGCTAAATCTCACCATGGAAAGGTGAGAAGCACGGCATTTGGTTCCATATCATTACACGCCATACAATTACTTGTTTTAAGCATGCAATTCAATGGCTAGTTCAGGTCTTTTTTTAAAAGCAAATTACAGAATTGTGTAATCATCACTACCATTAGCCTTTAGAACATTTCCATCTCCCCAAAGAGCTCACTCAGCATGGGCCTGTTTGCTGCCATCTCCAGCCCCAAGCAACCACTGTCCCTACGGATTTCCCTTTTCTGGACATGTCAAGTCTTTTGTGTCTTGCTTCTTTCTCGGAGCAAAAAGTTGGCCAATTCAGTTTTGTAGTTTTGATACCCAGTTCTCAGTAGGCAGAGTTGTTCTTCATGCTTAATGGACAGAATTCACTTCGAGGAAAAAGATCTCAAAAATACTTCCTTGGATATAGAGTTGTTTTTTTAATCCCCATTAAGAACTCATGAAAGGAACTCTGGTAGCGTAGTGGTTACGAATCAGGCTGTGAGCCGCAAGGTCAACAGTTTGAAACTACCAGCTTTTCTGCGGGAGAAAGATGAGGCTTTCTGCTCCGGTAAAGATTTACAGCCTCGGAAACCCTGTACAGGGTCGCTATGGGTCGGAACCGACTCCATGGCACATAACCAACAACTACAAGGAACGCATGAAACTTTCTTTTTTGTTTTTCCCTAAATTCATGTTTATGCTGTCTTTAAGACATTAGGACATCAGACGTAATTTCTAGCTTATCGATAGGAAATTATTGATTTTCTAAAATCCATGACTCCAGTCCAGAGACCCCACACTAAGGTCTAAAGCCATGGTTTTGTTCTCCCCTGTTACCAAGTTAGCAGAACCATGTGGGGTACCAGGTCTTACATCATCTAGGGGAGTGTCTGGATGCATGGAGTACTCAATCCCATATGTGATCCAGCTCAAGAGCACTCCAATCCACAGGAGGATGGAGAAGCCCCCCACCATCTGCTTTAGGAACTTGACAATCTCCGGGGTCTTCTTGGGAGGGCTGAGAGTGTTGGGCCCATCTCGAGCCAGGAGCGCAGCAGCTCTAGCACTGGAAAGACCCTGAGAAGGATGAGCAAAAACAAAACAGGAATTAGACAATTCTCTACAGGGATCTGGGCTGAAAGCAGACTACCAGAAAGATGTTTACCTGTGCTTTATTGACTATGCAAAGGCTTTCCATTGTGTGGATCATCACAAGCTATGGACAACATTGCAGAGAATGAGTATTCTGGAACACTTAATTGTGCCCAAGAGGAATCTGTACATACCAAGACACAGTTGTTCGAACAGAACAAGAGAACACTGAATGGTTTAAAATTAGGAAAGGTGTGCGCCAGCGTTATATTCTTTCACCATACTTATTCAATCTGTATGCTGAGCACATAATCCGAGAAACTGGATTATACGAAGAAAAACATGGCATCAGGATTGGAGGAAGACTCATTAACTACCTGCTATATGCAGATGATATAACCTTGCTTACTGAAAGTGAAAAGAAATACTGACGAAGATGAAAGATAAAACCTATGGATTGCATCTCAATGCAAAGAAAACAAAAGTCCTCACCACTGGACCAATAGGTAACACCAATATCAATGGAGAAAAGATTGAAGCTGTCAAAAGGCAATCAATCATAAACTCAGTGAATCTTGGTTACAAGACCCCTAACGTTCTGCAAATAGAGTATTTTCATCAGTTTTGAAAACATGTTATGTTCATTAGTTTTAAAAAACAGGGTATGTTTATTAATCTTGCAAATACGACATATTTATTAATTTCTATTAGTTTTTGGAAAAATAATTTTAAGTGAAGGTGAATGAATAATAAAACCAGCTTTTCTGCTTTCAGTGCACCTACTCAGTCCTCCAACAACTTTTAATGCTAGATTATAGCATAGCAAAGTCCATTTGAGTCACAAGGTCAGCAGTTCAAACCCACTAGCCACTCTTTGGAAGACCTATATAGGGTCGCTATGAGTCAGGATCGACTTGGCGGCACTTAACAACAACAACATAGCATAGCTAAACAATTATTTGTTTTGTTGTTGTTGTTGTTAGGTGCCATCAAGTCGGCACCGACTCATAGCGACCTTATGCAAAGCAGAACGAAACAATGTCCGATCCCGGGCCAACATCACTACTGTTGCCACACTTGAGTCCATCGATGCTGCAACCTGGCCAATCCATCTCATGGGGGTCTTACTCTTTTTCTCTAACCCTCCATCTTACCAAACATGATATCCTTCTCCAGCGACTGTTCCCTCCTGACAATATGTACAAAGTATGAGAGACGAAGTTGGCCATCTTGGCCTCTAAGGAGCACTCTGGCTACACTTCTTCCAAAACAGACCTATTGGTTCTTTTGGCAGCCCATGGCACTTTTAGTATTCTCCTCCAACACCACAACTCAAAGGCAACTCTTCTACGGTCTTCCTTATTCCGGTCTTCCTTATTCACTGTCCAGCTTTCGCATGCATATGAGGTTATTGAAAATACCATGGCTAGGGTCAGGTGTACCTTAGTCCTCAAGCTGACATCTTTGCTCTTCAACACTTTAAAAAGTTCCTGTGCAGCAGATTTGCCCAATGCAATACGTCGTCTGATCTCCTGACTGCTGCTTCCGTGAATGTTGATAGTTGATCCAAGAAGAATGAAGTCCTTGACAACTTCAATCTTTTCTCCATTGATAAGAATGGTGTTTATTGGTCTAGTGGTGAGGATTTTTGTTTTCTTTACATTGAGATGTAATCCATAGCGAAGGCTGTGCTCTTTGATCTTCATCAGTAAATGTTTTAAGTCCTCTTCACTTTCAGCAAGCAATGTTGTATCATCTGCATATCACAGGTTGTTAATAAGTTAGAGCACAAATATTTTTAACAATATTTACCAAGATGACCTTTACTGTCATGTTAAGAAAACTATGTTTTCATATGCAAAAAAAAAAAAAATCCCTAAGGCGCACAGTTCTACTCTGAAACACACAGGGTTGCCATGTGTTTGATATGGATTCCAAGGCAAGTGGCTTGGTTTTTGGATAGGGCCAACGAAATCCCTGGGTGCTACCAACAATTACATGCTCAACTGCTAGGCCACCCACAGACAGACAACTAGGAAAGGCTTAGACGTCTGCTTTCAAAAACATCAGCCATTGAGAACCCAGGTAACACATGACTCACAGGAGAGTCTAATGCTTTTTTTGCACTAAACATACAAATCTTTGTGGAATAACTAGGAATCCAGACTGATACCTTGCATTTCTCAGTTATTTTCAAGAACCCAACTCATCTTTCTAAACGACTGTTGAATATCTTCACATGGGTGTTCCAGAGACATTTCAAATAATAGAGTTCAAAATAAAATGCATCATTTTCTCCTCCCCACTGCCTTCTCTGGTCTCTCACCTGCTCCCACACTCCAACCTCACCAAATCTTCTCCTCCCCTGTATTCTCTACTTCATTAAATCTTGGCACTCCCTCTTTTCCTCCTCCAGTCCTATTGGCTTTCTCTCTGAAGCATCTCTGGAATCTGCCTCCTTACTTCCCATCTTACCACTGCTGCCTGCTGCACATCTCATCCTCACTGTCCTGGAATATTATCCATTCTTCTAGAACCTCCCCTCACTTTCCATCTCCCACTTGGAAAACAATTTTTAACAATTTCTACAAGAATGGTCTTTTGAAAATCAAGCTCAGCAAATCACTTCCCTGTTTAGAAATTGTGCCCTATAGACACTTAAACAGTCTACTCCTGGTGTGTCACTGTAGGATAAGCACTGGACTGCTAACCACAATGTCGGTAGTTCAAACCCACGAGTCCTTCCTTGGAAACCCTATACAGGGTCACAGGAAACCCTATGAGTTGGAACTAACTGGATGGCACTTAACAAGAACAAATTCCTTAGTTTAATATCAGAGTGCTTAACAGTTACCCCGATTTACCCATCCCCCAGCCTCATCCTCATTCCCACCTACCTATTCCATTTCCCTGTGAGCCCAGATTGCTGTCAGGATCCAAATGCATCCTACTCTTTTTGGTTCCCAGGGTTCCATGTCAACTTCAATTCTATCTAGCCATCCTCTTAAGTTGCAAACACTGTCTCACTGTGGGGGGGGGGGGGGCAGTCAGAATTCCCCATTCACTCAGCATACTGTTTAAACCTCTCCTTTGTCCTGTAAGTGGGATGCAGTAGATGTCACGCTATTTTCAAACACATCAGCCTTAAGACCAGAGGTCATCTTGTTCCTCTTTGTATTTCTCCATGTTGTCTGCACATGGTAGGTATTTCCATTGTACATTCAGTATCTAATCTTGACTTTTTGTTTGACTTTGAATTCACAGCAGAAAGCAGTACTTTCTGAGGTGGTACTTGTGAGACACCTGTGAACACACCACTCTGGTCCTAGAGAGCTCCTCCCTGCTGGGAGGAGGAAATGAGGTCAGCAGCTTTGTATTTTTTAGTTGTGATTTGGGGAGGTGTACAGTTTCATATTATTAGCTGCAATCCTCGTAATGTTACCACCCTCTTCCCACTTCCTCTGCTCACCCTTTGTCTTTTTTCCCCTCTCCCTCCCTGCCTTCTTCTGGTGTGAGCTAATGCATAAGACTGCAAAGCCATTTGAACTGCAAGGTTGGTGATTCAAGCTCACCAGTGGCTCCTTGAAAACCCTGTACAAGGGCGCTATGGGTCGGAAACGACTCGATGGCACTTAACAACCACAACAAACCCTGCCTTCTTAGCTTTATCCCTGCATAAAGGCCACCCTCTTAATCTCATATGAAGTGCTGGTGTGGCTCTATAGGATAAATGCAAAACCACAAGGTTGGTAGTTCAAACTTACCAGCTGCTCCTTGGAAACTCTATACTGGGTCATTATGAATCAGAACTGACTTGACGGCACTTAACAACAAATCTCATATGGTTGATTATTCGAATGAGTACATCCTTGTTAAGAGCCATTGAGTCATTTCTGACTCATAGCGGCTCAGTATAGAGTTTACAAGGAGCGGCTGGTGAGTTTGAACACACCGACCTTGCAGTCTAGTGCTTATCCTTCAGCGCCACACCAGGACTTTCCGACTTTACTATATACCTTAAAAACCTGTCTACAGTTTGGCTGAAAGTTGAACCGTGGGGATGAGGAGGTCAGTTCCAGGCTAAAAGGGTGTCTAAGGGCTAAGTCTTGGGGGTGCTCTATCAAACCAGTAAGCCTGGTAATTTTTTATGATTTTAACTATTGTTCCATATTTTTCTCCCACTCCATCTAGGACTTCCTATTGGGACCCCTTTCAGAGTGGTCAGCAGTGGTAGTTCTTCAAGCTCACATTCATGGAGATCGGGGCTCACATGGCCCACTAGGCTGTTTCACTTCACCCTCTCTAGCACTGGTTCCCCCCATCCTCCACTAACCTCACAACTTAGATCTGAATTAAGTCCCAGCTACATAGAACCTGGAAGACTCAGGACTGGAGATCAGTGACAAGGTGATGCACATGACTTTCTTGATAAAAGCTAAGGACATCTGCTGTCTCGTAAGTGACGAACTAAGTCTGCACTGAAAAGCACCAGATATACTGTATGGACACTGGGATCAAAAACACCCTCTGACTGTGACAATGAGGAAAGCGTCAGTATCTTTCTGGGGAGATGAGAGCTTTCCTACTGTCACAGCAGAAGAAATAAGCATGGCCAGGCAGATTGCTCAGTGAAAGGGCCTGTGTCAGACACATCAGCCCCTTGAGGTTGGCCAGCTCTTCTGCCACCTACTAGGCACTTGAGTACTGGTGTTCTCAAAGCAGCAGCTATAGGTCATTCACTCTAAAGTGACATTCAGTTTTCTATACTCGCTGGACACAAAATCTTTTTATGTATATGGTCAGGGGCTTCTCTTCCTGACTCCTGGTTCCCATTGACTTACCGTAATGATGTTTGTTCCATATTTCTTTTCCAAGTCCTCACTGCTGAGTTTGTGATCATCCTGAAATCCATGAAAGGGAAAAGAATTAAGTGAATTCGATACTTGCAAAAGACCCAACCACCACTCATCTGTCAGTGTGTCTCACTGTGGTGGCTTGCATGTTGTTATGATGCTGGAAGCTATGCCACCAGTATTTTAAATACCAACAGGGTCACCCATGGTGGACAGGTTTAAGTGGACCTTCCAGACTAACATAGACTAGCAAGAAGCAGAGGCCAACTACGTCTGAATTTTTAGCCACTGAAAATGGTCTGTGAGTAGCAGAGGAATACTGTGGATTATAGTGTTGAAAACCTCAGGAATATCAACAGAAACTGTGTCAGAAGATGAGCCCCTCAGGTTGAAAGACTGGGAAGAGCCGCCTCCTCAAAGTAGAGTTGGCCATAATGACACAGAATGAAGTTGTCAAAACCTTCATTTGCTTATGGGATATAACTCAAAATGAGGAGAAACAGCTGCAAACATCAATTAATAATTAGAACATGCAGTGCATGGAATACAAATCTAGAAAAATTGGAAGCTGTCAGAAATGAAATGGAACACATAGAGTTCAATAGCCAAAGCATTGTTGTTAAGCATTTTTGTTACGTGTTGTTAAGTGCCGATGAGTTAGTTCCAACTCATAGTGACCAAGGAGCAGCTGATGAGTTTGAACCACTGACCTTGAGGTTCAAACTGACCTTATAGTCCAATGTATTATCCCACAGCAGGACTCCTAGGCATTAGTGAGCTGAAATGCACTGGCATTGGCCATTTTGAATCAAATGACCATATGGTTTACTATGCCAAGAATGACAAATTGAAGAGGAATAATGATGAATTCATTGTTACAAAGATCTATACAGTAGTATAGATCGTATACAGTCCATATGTCTCAAGGGAAGACCACTTAATGCCATTATTTTCAAATGTATGCATCTACCACTAAACTCAGTGATGGTGGAATTAAAAAATTCTACCACCTTTGTCCGAGTCCTGGTGTGGCACTATAGAATAGACCCTGTTAGGTAGTTCAAACTCCTCAGGTGCTTCTTGGAAACCCTACCTAGGGTTGCTATGAGTCAGAACCAACTCGATGGCACTTAAAAACAACCAACTTCTTCAGTCTCAAATTGATCACACATCAGAATGTCAAGGTTAGAAATAAAGAGGAAGATACAGTAGTTGGAAAATATGGCCTTAGTGATAGAATCTGTGCTGGAGATCAGATGATAGAATTTTGCAAGACCAATAGCATTCACTGGAAATGCTTTTTTAAACTGCATAAAAAGCAATTATACACACGAACCTCACCCGATGGAATACAAAGGAGTCAAACAGACTACATCTGTGGACAGAGAGCGTGGAAAAGCTCAATTTCATCAGTCAAAACAAGACGGGGGGCAGACTGTGGAACAGACCATCAGTTGCTCATACACAAGTTCAGGCTGACATGGAAGAAAATTAAAACACGTGCATGAGAATAACAATATGACCTTGAATATACCTGAATCTAAAGACCATATCTGATGCATTAGACACTAATGACTGAAGACCAGAAGAACTGTGAGATGACATCAAGAACCTCATACATGCAGAAAGTAAAAAGACATTAAAAGGACAGCAAAGAAAAGAGCAAAATGGGTACCAACGAGAACAAATGTAACAACAATGACCTGGCACGGGACCGGACAGCATTTTGTTTGGTTGTGCACGGGATCACTGAGTTGGCACTGACTCATGGCGATGACCAAAGACCCAAATCCCGAGCTTTGGTCAGTCCATGAAAGCTGAGTGTAGCAGTGAGGATGGAAGAGGGGCAGGAATTATGGGAGGTCATGGGAACAGTCCAGTTAGTCAGGTGGCTGTTACGGTAAAGGAAGGGCACTTCTTCCAGAGAGTCTTGTTCTAATTCATGGACTAGGAAAGTTTCTAGTATCTCGGAAGAGTTCAGACTTAATCCATCTCACTTAACGATACAGCAGATGTCCTTAGCTTTTATCAACAAAGTCATGTGTATCACCTCATCCTTGACCTCCAGCACAAGGAAGTCCTAAGTCTTCCAGGTGCTATGTAGCAGGATACTTAATTCAGACCTAAATTGTGAGATCAGTGGAGGATAAGGAGCTCTGGTAGCTTAGTGCTTATGAGTCTGGCTGCTAACCTCAAGGTCAGCAGTTAGAAACTGCCAACCATTCCACGGGAGAAAGATGCGGTTTTCTGTTCCCCTAAAGATTTCCAGCCTCGGAAACTCTATGCAGGGTCACTATGAGTTGGAACCGACTCCACAGCACACCACCACCAAGGAAGAACACCAAACCAGACTCACTGCATCTTAGTCAAAGACTTACTTTATGCAACTACCAGGATCCTGTGTTCTGGTAACTGGGTGTTTCTAGAACCAAAAAGCATGCCTTTTCTTATTCAAGTCATGAACCACCACAGATGAAAAGTCTACCCCAAAATACCAGTATGACCCACACTTGCTAATTCTACCATGGAATCATTACATTGTTATTGTTGCTCGTGTATCATCGAGTTGATTCTGATTCATATTGTTGGTAAGTGCTGTCAAGTCGGTTCCAATCCATAGCGACCCTGTATAGGGTTTCAGAGGAGCCAATGGTGAGTTTGAACCACAAACCTTGGAGTTGAAACGGACTTTGCAGTCCAGAGTATTAACCAATAGCAACACACCAGGCCCTATACTAAAGAAGGGCTTTTCACTTTTGGAACTATTGACATTGTGAAGTAGATGATTCTTTGCTAGTATGGGCTATCCTATACATTGTAGAACATGTAGGAACTTCCCTGACCCTTACCTACTAGAAGTCAGCAGCTTCTTCCCCTCAACTGTGTCACAAAAGATGTCACCAGACACTGCCAAATGTCCCCTGAGGGGTGAGGTATGGGAATCACCACAAATAAACACCTAGCACCAGTAAATCACAGAATGCTAAGCTCTGGAGTGATACCTCTAAGGGAGGCTGAAAGTCATCACTGTTTGCAGGAATGGACCTCACACTGGAAGGAGAAGGGCAGGGCTGTGAGACCAAATTCCTTTCTTCCAACTAGTCTGGGGCTTCAGGGAGGAGTGCAATGGTGTCTGTACGCCCTCTGCTGGCCATCATGGGAGCAACACAAACTTAGGGCAGTAGCAACCTGTTGACACTTCTGAAACAGTCCTTGCTAAAATGCTTCTAGTTTCCCGTTTATTCATGTACATATTTTTCCTCATTCATTTATATGACTGACCGTATTTTGGTCTGTACAGATTAAATTTGATGTGGTGAAAATCAGGTTGAGAAACCATTTTCTGTCAAGGGCAGCCTTATTTATATTTCCCATGATTTCATAAACCATATTCTTTGAGAAGCTGCTCAACTTACATCATCAGTTTTATTCTCAGTAAAATTAAAGCTCTAATGTTTGCATATAAGGAAAGTAGTTATCATGCTTAGTAATACCTCTAACAATATGAATCCTGCCCCAAATTAGCCAGTAATCCTATAGGTAGATACTGTATGAACAAATGTTTAATCATTTAAATAGAATGTAAATATAACACTGAGCACTGTTTTCTAGTGTATCAAAATTCTTTGCCTTCATCATTCGCTGGGCTGTTGTTATGAAGATGGTGTAACAGGAACGTGGCTTGTGAAAGGAAGACAAACCAGAATGCTACTATAATTTAGTTTATAATTATTTAAAGAATTCAAATTTTATCTGCCTCTCTCCTAATTTGGCAAGCATAGAGCTAACATGGAGACTTTTCTCTGCACTATATGCTAGCGTAGTCGTTACAAATTGGGCTGTAAACCTTAAGGTCAGCAGTTTGAAACTACCAGCCGCTCTGTAGGAGAAAGATGAGGCTTTCTGCTCCTGTAAAGATTTACAGCCTCGGAAACCCGGTACAGGGTCGTTATGGGTCGGAACCGATCCATGGCACTTAACAACAACAAAGTATTGATAAAACATTATTTCCCTATATTAAACAAAGGTGGGGGGAAAGTTCTAAGCCACCTCGGGTTGCAATACTGAAGAATTCTACGTGCAAAATATTGAATGGCTCAGGAAACATCAAAAGAAGATAGAAGGAATACACAGTCACCGCACCAAAAAGAGCTGGTATGCTTGCTGGGAGGAGAGGTTGGGGCCAGAAGAATCAGAGCATTTGGATTATGCTGTTGGAGAAGAATGTTGACAGAACCATGGACTTTCAGAAGAACTAGCACATACATATATGTTGGAAGTACAGCCAGAGAGCTCCTTAGAAGCCAGGATGTCAGGAGAAGGACGTTGGGCAGGCTGTCAGGAGAAGGAGGACATTACACTTGGTAAAATGGAGGGCCATCAAAACAGAGTAAGACTCCCAGTGAGATGGATTGACACAGAGGCAGCATAACAATTGTGAAGCTGATACAAGACCTGGGAGTGTTTCCTTCTGGTGTGGACGCAGTCGCTACGAGTTGGAATCCACTTAACAGCACCTCACAAGATTCTAAGCACTGGAAATACCAAAATGCAAAAGAATCCAAGTAGTGTGTCATGAATAAAAGGACCCTTGTGAAAGGTTGAAGGAAAGGAGATAAATAAAGACACTCCTTCCTTAGCAGGAAAACAGAATATTTTGGCTAATAATATGGGAAAAAATTTCATTACATTATTATTATCTCCATAAGTGCCCCCAAACCGGAAGTTTTCATTATAATAAACACTCATACAATAGATGGACATATATTCATTGTTGTAAATAGCAAGTCCAAGTAAGTTATGTTTTCAGTCATAAATGCTAGAGATACACAATAATTAATTTCTATTTATTAAGGATTCCTGGTGTGGCACTGTTGGTTAATGTGCTGGACTGCAAAATCCACTTTGAACCTGGAGGTCTGCAGTTCAACTTCGCCAGCTGCTCCTTGGAAGCCCTATACAGGGTCGCTATGGGTCAGAACCCTACTAGACAGCACTTAACAACAACGACAACAACATGTCTTCAATCCTGATTTTATTATTCAGAGGTTGTTGATAAGTGCCTTTGAGTGGGTTCTGACTCACAGCAACCCTGTATAGGATTTAGAGATAGGTACCAGTTTTAATCCCTATTTTACAGAATGAGAAAGTGATCTAAGTTTAATTTAAATCAAACTAGGATTTAAATTCTGCTAGTAGAGTTTGCTTAAAGGAGTTCTGGTAGCGTAGTGGTTACCAATCGGGCTGTGAACCTTAAGGTCAGCGGTTCGAAACTACCAGCTGCTCCGCGGGAGAAAGATGAGTCTTTCTACTCCCGTAAAGATTTACACCCTCGGAAACCCTGTACAGGGTCGCTATGGGTCGGAACCAACTCGACGGCACTTAACAACAACAACAACATGAGTTTGCTTGGCGCTGTGGGTTAACGTGCCAGACTGCAAAGCCGTTTGAACTGCAAGGTCGGCAGTTCAAGCTCACCGGTTGCTCCTCGGAAACTCTATACAGGGTCGCTGTGGGTCGGAATCAACTCAACGGCACTTAATAACAACAAGTGGGGTTTAGGGTTAATATTCTTAAATGTATATCTATCTTCTCTTTCACAGGGTATTATATGTCTAGAAAGCTATGAAGGTCTAGTGACTTTGGTTGCCCTCCTCAATAGACCCTGGCCCAAATACTTTTACTGGCAAATGGTGTGGTGGCATGGTGGATCAGCACTGGACTCCGAACCAAAAGGTTTGTAGTTCAAATCCAGCAGCTGCTCTTCAGAAATCCTATACAGGGTCACTGTGAGTGGGAACTGACTCGACGGCACTTAACAACTACACAATACCAAGCAGCCAGGTAGAGAGAGGTGGGAACGTTTCTCCTGTGAATTCCATCTGGGAGTGCCTCCAAGCAGAATGTAGGTATGAATTCTGCACAGGGCCTGACTCTCAGGCAGCTGTTATCACTTTTTTTCCCCCTCAAAAACAAGGAAGCAAATTTCCAAATCCTTGACCTTGAACATTCCTTTGTAAGAGGGGCAAGCTCTCAGGAGGGCAGCAGTTTGGTGGAACCCTTTTGTTTAAATAATACTGACCAGAACAAGGTCCTTCTTAGTCTCCTCTTTCTGGGGATTCTTTTTGTAGTTCCAACACTTGTTCTTCAGGCGCCCCCTGTGTTTCTGGTCCTCCCCCTTGTCTGTTTCCTCCATGGCTTTAGTTGTATTTAGTTCCACAGAGTAAATTTCTCTTTTCTGAAAGAGAAACAAGAGGTACAATATTAGCTCCAAATGGACTGTTCAGAAGTGTCTCCTTCCAGAGGCACACATGGACATGGAATGGAGTCCCTCCTGTCCCCCTAGGTCTGGAAAGGAGACAAGGCCAAGAAAAGATTGGACAGTTTCTCGCTTCCATTGGAAAGCATCAATTCCCTACCCCTTTCTTTTTTTCTCCATTCATTTCTCCTAGGAGATGGAAGGACAAACCAGCAGGGGTCTTCTTAGGGTGACCCACCCTGGGGAGGGGCAGATGGAAAATTATTTTCCCCAACTCAGATAAGATCCCTCCTCTTCAAGAAGCCACATTCGTTTCTCTAGTGCTTTGTTCCCCACAAAGATGTGTGTGTCCCTTTCCGGGATGGATTACATAGCAAGGTAAGCATATGCTTACTGGTGCTTATCAGTGGAGAAATTGCAAATCGTAGACTTCATTATGTATGTGAAGTTTGCCCAATTGACATTGCTAAGTGCAGAAGCCAGCTTTATGGCATGGCTACAGTATGTCAAAGGGCCTCTGGTAGCGTAGTGGTTACGAATCGGGATGCGAACCGCAAGGTCAGCAGTTCGAAACTACCAGCTGTTCCGCGGGAGAAAGATGAGGTTTTCTGCTCCCGTAAAAATGTACAGACTCAGAAACCCTGTACAGGGTCGCTATGGGTCAGAACCGACTCCACGGCACACAACCACCACTACAGTACATCAGGGAGTCCTAGTGTTGCACCCTAGGATAAGCATGGGGCCGCAAGGTTGGTGGTTCAAACTCACCAGCCGCTTTTCAGAAATCCTATAATCCCATAACAGGGTCACTATGAGTAGGCACACAACAACAACAACCAACATGTCAGGGCGTAGGGATAGATTACCCAATAAGCACGTTGTACACATGGTTTGTGGAAACCACTGGAAAACACGTGCCTACCTCGCTTATTGGAGTCCTGGTGTGGCCTATAGCATAAGCACTGGACTGCTAACCTGAACGTTAGTGGTCCACACCCACCACCCGCTATTTGGGTAAAGGAATGTCCACTGAGTCATGAACCTCACCAGGACAGGGCGAGCGTACTGTTCCAAGTCTTCTCGGACCACATTCCATCTATTTAACCCCCAGCCCTCTCTCCCCCTCACCTGAACCAGTGCCTTCCAGGTGCCACTGGACCCGACCTAGAATTTTTGGATTGTCTCTGTCCCGCACTTTTGGATTGAATTCTTTACCGCAGCCCGCCCTGGGATTCGAACCCTGGCGTTTTGCGGCTAGGAGAGGTCACTGCAGTGTTGGGGAGGTAACTTGTAGAGAAGCAGCCTGCGGTTTCTAGCCCTCCTCCTCCCCTTTTCCCGAGCGCTCCCTCTCCCCAGGCCCTCAGCACGTCTTTCTAGGGGGCACGCACCTTGCCCACGACTCCCATGATGCTCGGACAGACAGGCCAGGCAAGGTCGGCTAGGGTCCGTCCGGGTGACTTCGAGGCGCTGAGTTCTGCGGGGTCCGGTGGCGGGAGATCAGCAACGGCACGGGCCCCCGCAGACAAGGTGTGCGCTCGCTCGGCGCTCGCTCGGCTTGTAAACCCGCGGGACCCCGCCCTCTGGCCCCGCCCGGCCCGTCCTCGCGGTCCCTGCCCCCAGGCGGCTGGAGCCTTCAGGCACGCGGCACGCGGAGGGCGGTCGGGAGGAGCCCAGGAGGGTGCTGGGGCGAAGCCCGACCCTGGCGCCTAGGCGAGGGCTGCGCCGGCGACCGCAAACCTTGCCCTGGGCTCCTGTGAGAGTCGACATTGCCAAATAAGCGAATTTATAGGAGTTGAGCTGCTAACCCCAAGGTTAAGTGACGTCCAGTCAATTCCGAACCATAGCAACCCAGTATAGGGATTTCAAGGAGCAACTAGTGAGCTTGAACCACCGACCCTGCAGTTCAAACAGCTTTGCAGTCTGACACATTAACCCACAGGTGGTTCGAACCCACAAACCGCCCTGGGATAGAAAGATAAGGTTAGGTCCTGTAAAGGGTTACTGTCTCAGAACCCCTACAATAGGGTTGTACTGAGTCGGAGTGCACACTACAGCAGTGGATTTGGTTTGGATTTTAGAATCAGAGGGTGGCAACGCTGCTCCCAGCTGCAACTGCTCTCTAAGAGTACCATATCCGCTGGACCAGTCCACTACAGGATCCACAACATTATCCCACTAAGATAACCTCTGAACTTGGATTTGAAGCTATTTCTGCAGGACACTTTCAGTCAAATGATTGTTGTTGTTCTGTGCCATAGAGTCGGTTCTGACTCATAGCGACCCTGTACAGGATTTCCTAGGCTGTAAATCTTTACAGGAGCAGAAAGCCTCATCTTTCTCCCACGGCACAGCTGGTAGTTTCAAACTGCTGACTTTAAGGTTCGCAGCCCAATTCATAACCACTATGCTACCAGCGCTCCTTTTGTCAAATAATAGATTGGCTTATAAATTAAGCAACCCTACCTGTGAGCAAGGAGCCCTGGTGTGGCGCTGTAAGGTAATCACAAGACTGCTACCCACAAGGTCAGTGCTTCAAACCCACCAGCTACTCCTCAGAAACCCTATACAGGGTCTCTATGAGTTGGAATCCACTCATTGCACTTAACAGCAACAACAACTCATGAGCAGTGTGCTCCCTAAACAATTAATGTATGAGACCAAAAGTCAACATTTACCCCAAAGCAAAGATGAGAAGGCAAGGAGGGAAGGGAAACTAGATCAACAGAAACAGAATAAGCAGAATGCGTATAATGAGAATACAGACACATTGTAAAAATTGTAACAATTTGTATAAAAAAATCGTTAAAGGGTCAACCTCTTAGACTGAAACTCAAATGGAACTCAAGAGCAGGCATGTAAGCTGGCTGGCAACAGGGTTGGTCTACATGTGAGTGGAAGTGGGGGAAAGGCAGTAATGAAGATAAGGGCTGAGTTACACCATGTTCCATAGACTCCTGTCAACCTTGAGATGAGAAAAAGAGGAAGGGCTGGTTGGTCCAAAGTTTGGGGAGACTTGGGAACTCCTGAGTCCATGGACACTGACCTAGCCATAGGCGGGCTAGAGCTGGAAGTGAAGCATCTAGATGACATGAAGTGGGGGGAGACACACAAGAATGCCCAAACTTGTAGATAGTACTCATTTGACCTAGCTATGGCTTAATGATCAAAACTTGACTAGAGGAAGATAAAGAAATTTGATAAAGGAAGCAAGTGTAAATTGCTACAATTTGATGAACATGACCTATACTTAAGGATTTTATTGTTGTTAAGTGCCATCAAGTCAGTTCCCACCCATAGTGACCCTGTATAAGGTTTCCAAGGAGCAGCTGGTGACTTTGAACCACCGACCTTGCAGTTCGAACCAACTTTGCAGTCCAGTGACTTTGCAGGGCCACACCAAGACTTGATAGTTCAAAACACCAACCAAGAGGGAAGGAGTCTTCACATCAAGGATCAAGCCTATCCCCTCTGTACACAGAGTTGATAGGGATGGGCAACTTAGACATTGACTACCTAAAATGGGGGGGTGGGGGGTGGGAGGTAATAAAGGCATAAAGTGGCTGGCTTACAAGTTTTCAAGAGGGAGCTTAGTTTTACTGTGCCAGGGAAGGTAGAATCCCCACTGAATAACTTTCATCTTGGCTCAATGGGTCTGGTGAAAGAAAATGGGGATAGGATTCTTTTGATTCAATAGTGAGTAATTGTTATCATGACTAATTGTGACTTTACATAACTGTAAAGGTAGAAAATGTGTAACAAAATGGGGGGAGAGTTAATCTTCCATTCCAGGAACAGAGGACCTTAGGACCATCAAGAGAGAAGAGCACAAGCAGAATGTGGGACCCTAACCAAAGAAGCAGTGACACCAGAGATGAAGGCAGAGGTGATGGCATGGAGAGATAGAGTAGCTGAGGACTCTAGACTCATGCAAAGAATAAGATTGTGTGCTGGCAAGCAGGAGGGAGGCTTGCAGAATGTGACCTTTGGTTGGTTAAACAATTATTATATTCCTGAGTGTTTTTGTGCACATTAAAAAAACAACAGAGGGAATAGAAGTAAAATACTGTTAATCGATGATGCACAGAGGGATTGTAATCATTGCAATGAAACAGAAATACGATAGAGTGCAAAACTGATGTTCTCCCGTGTAAACTATCTCTCAATTCACAATAAAAGCTTTGAAAAAAAAAAGAAATACCGTTAAAAAAGAACCTAATTTTCTGTGTAAACTTTACCTAATGCGCAATAAAATATTATTTAAGAGAAAAGTTGTGTGCTGGTGGGCAGAGGACTGGTTTGCAAAATGTGCCCTTTGGTTGTTTTAACAATTCCTGCATGTTTTTGTGTATATCATTAAAAAAAAAGAGAGAGAGAGAGAGAGAGGGAATAGAAGCAAATATTGTCAAACCATGGCACATGGAGGGGATTATAATCATTGCAAAGAAACCAAATGGGATTGGCTAAGTGCAAAACCAATGTTCTGCCATATAAACTATCACTCAATTCACAGTAAAAGCTTTATAAAGAAATTGTGTCCTGTTAAGACTTTGTTATCAGAGAAAGGATTTCTCTAAGGGCTTCAGTTGGGAGTGACGGAGATCCTGAAGAGTTCCTAACTTTGTAAGATCCAGATAAGAGTGTAGAATGCTGAAACAGTTTAGGAGGGAGGCAGAGAAGAGATAGGAAGATGTGGAGTGTAGTCAAAACTGTTGTGAGAAGGAAAACTTCTCAGGAGGCCAGAGGAATCTTGTAGAGGCTGCCTGGTGGACTAGGCTAAAGATGTTTGCTCAGTTTCCCAATCCAATCTCACTCCTTCTCTTCCCTTATTTCCTCCCTCCCTTCCTCTTTTTTGCATTAGGTAAGGACAGAATTTTTCTGACTGTGGAGCAAGGCACACTAGAGTGAAGCCTCACACTCTAAAAGTAAAAGTAAGATGTTTAATAAAAGTACAGAGATGGTCTGGACTGGGAACACATGCAGATTCACAGAGTGAAGATAGCTACTCCACTGTACAAGAAGGAAGTCAGCATTGTTATAAAGTTGTAACAGGAATTTAGGCTAAAAAACATGATTGGCTGAGACCATCAGGGGAGTTGAAGGCAGGGTGTCTAATTGCAGGAACTCAGCATGGATGAGTGGATACCATTCATTAGGTGAAATTACATGATTGGTTAATAGGGCATAGTTGCAAGTGTAAAAGTTCTTCAACCAATTACAGGGTGGTCACAGGACAGTGGCAGGACAGGTTTTTGGGGGAAATGGTTATTAAAATTGCTATCACAAGTATCTTTGTTCCTGTGGGTCCATTGTATAGAAGATTTATCAATAATATGGTACATCAATGCATCAAGACATTTCTGACGTAGGCTACTCCATCCTGTGTCTTCCAGACCACAGAGGAAAGAAGAAAAATGTTTTCTTTAGGGTATATTGTTTTGTTCTATATTGGATTGTTGTTGTTGTTAAGTGCCGTTAAGCTGGTTCTGACTCATAATGACCCTGTATAGGATTTCCAAGGAGTGTCTGGTGAGTTTGAACCGCCAACCTTGCGGTTCAAATGGATATTGTGGTCCTGCATTTATCTTAGAGCACTGCTTAAGGACTCTGTTAGAGTGGTTTAGGTCAAGACAAAGATTAGAGAAGTTTCTGTCAGAAAAGATCGTTTTGTTTTGTTTTTTTAATTGTGAATTGAATGAAAGTTTATGAACAAAATCATCAGTTTTACATTCAACAAATCATATTGTTTTATCTTAATAATTGCAATCGCCTCCAGGCGACATTCTGATCCCACTTCCTCCCTGTGGTTCTTATTTCCATTCCACCCTTCTTCCATCCCCTCTCAACGTTGTCCTTAAGTGCACGGCAGCTTTTTTATTCTAGCCACACTCCGTTTTGTGATATATTCTAAATCCTAGTCTCTATGCCTGTGATTATGGACCCATTTTGAAATGAATTGCTCCAGAATAAAGATTAAGGCATGGCACTGTAGGATAAGCACTTGACCACAAGGTTGGTTTGAACCACAAGGTCATTGGTTCAAACACACCAGCTGTTCCTCAGAAACCCTGTACAGGGTCACTATGAGTCAGAACCAACTCAGTGGCACTTAACAACAACAACAACAAAGGAGTAAAGGTTGTAGTGGATCTAAGTATTAAGAATGCCCACACCTTAGTGTGCTCTGGTAGCGTAGTGGTTACGAATCGGGCTGTAAACCTTAAGGTCAGCAGTTCAAAACTACCAGCCGCTCCGCAGGAGAAAGATAAGACTTTCTGCTCCCATAAAGATTTACAGCCTCGGAAACCTTATACAGGGTCGGAACTGATTCAAAGGTACTTAACAACAACAACACACCTTGATAGAGGGTGTGACTCAAGTCACCACATTTAGTTTACTTTGGGGACTTGGTCTGACTACTAATTTATAAGACTGCTTTGGAAAAGCTTGCTTTCTCTTGTCCTGGATCTTGCATCTGGCTCATGACCCCCGTTTTGTGGGACTTTCAGCCCAGCACCTGACCTGATTCACCAGCCCTCATAGCACCTGCATCAACAGCCTGTGGCCTGACCTATTGATTTGAGTTCTTTAGCTCCTGAGACTACGTAGGTGACAAGATTCCTCCAGACTGATCTTGCCCAACAGTCTGCTATCTTTAACTTCCAATTCATAGGGACCAGCCTTGTGTTAATTTTTCTTATAAAAATTATTCATGCATTAGGTAAATGTTTCCCTTTTGATTTTGAATGACTGACCATTCCATGGTAAGC